GAGCACATATATTTTAAAAAAAATTATAAAAAAATATTTCTGAGAAAAATCAAGTATTTTCTTTTTCCTACGAGGTGAATTTTGACACAAGGAAGGCCTAGGATACCTATAAGACAAGCAAGCAGAAAAGATTAAAAAGATGTCTTTGATGTCAGTAAAAACTTAACCACATAATCAGGCTATAACATTTATTAGAAAACAGGAAGTGTTTACAATAAGTTAGAGAAGGAAAATAGGAAAAAACCGTTTCAAAAGCTGTAATCTACCTTTTGGTGGTGCTTTCAATCCATTTTCTCTCATCACCATATGGGGTGAATCTTTATTCTTCTGTCTATTTCCTTTCTACAAGCCTGGTTAAAAACCCATTGCAATCTTTTCCCTGATCTCAGCATGCTGTGGATCAGACCTTCTTTTAACAGACATAGGCTAATTTGTGCAAGACATTTATATTATCTTTTTCCTGCTGCAGACATGCAAAAGTTATATTTCACTTGTTTGATGGATTCAGTTAATGAAGAATAGCCTCAGTTCATTTCGGCTCATGCCCAAATATACCAGCTGGATGTAATATTATGACTGAGCTCTCATTATAAAGATGTCATGATAAAGATTATTGGACTCCCTATGTTATCCATTCATTGTTCCATGGCTGATAATGTCAACAAACAAATATATGTTCTCATTCTCTAGGAAGAAGTCTCATAGGATACTGAGCAAACATCTGCAAGATAATTCAATCAAATTAGCAACATCAGTATCTTTGAAGTTTGTAGCGCACAACCTTTTAAAATTCAGTCTGACAAACTTTTATAACTTACTGGGTGATAGTTAATCCTCTAACTCGGTAAGAAAGGATGAAAAAAATCAAACCAAAGGGGCAAAATTGAAGGAAATATGGAAAGCAGGAAAAAAGAGCCTGCATGAATCTTAAAATCTGAATTAGCGCAGTTCGAACAGGGATTAGGAGCTTCTGTGCCTGATGACATTAACATAAATTTTCCATTGCTTTGGGGCAATCAGGCCCAGATGCCTGAAGCTTTCTCACAGTAATTCAGCTTTCCAAAAAATACTGAATAGGAATCTAAAACATTAGGAATGTGATGAGAAATAAAATGAATTCTACAGTGCTCTTAACTTCTTTGTGTCTTAGAACCGTCATGGATATTATCAAATGGATTCAGATAATTAAAGCTCTGACTCCCCTCCCAAGTAATGGGAAATATAATACCCAAACTTTATTGTAAGAAATCAAATAAAAACAAAAAATATACAACTGTGAGGATGCTAAACCACATACTTGACATATCTTTTTGCCTATGAAGACTGTATAGATATTCCTATAGAATACAAATTGTTTAACCTTTTAAAGAATTATTAAGAGGAACTAATAAGGGGCCTGATAATGCTAGCTTGGTATTAAAAGTGCTGGATGAGCCTCCAGTGCAAGGGTTTAACTGAGTATTTCTGTTAATAATTGTTGCAACAATTGCTACTATCTGTAGAACCAGTCAACCCAAAATTTAACTGAAATCTACTCTTTTAAAAATACCTTGTTTTTTTTTACAAAAAGAAATTATGCTTAGCAATTACAAGGTAAGTTTTTTCTTGTATAAAGAATATGCATTACAAAGACAAGATGTGGCTCTCAAACCAGTTACAATCATCTGAAAGACCTACATACAGTTCTTTAGATATTACGGTTTTGTAATCAACAATGTGAGAGAGTAATGCAGAAAATTACTGTATGCGTGATATTAGGCAGAAACAGCAAAGCTTTCTATTCTGACAAGTTTATTACCATTAAAATGTTATGTCAAATATTTCTGCTTATTAAGCTAAAGTATTTTCACAAAGAAAACACATGGTATGCAGGTGAAACAATAGCTTCAAGTATCTTGAGTTTGTGCATGCTCATTCTATTGGACTTTGTCCTCACTGCTTGATAAATCATCTATCTTACATATTATGAGTCAAACAATTATAGAACATCAGCTCTGATTGTATTGATTAAAGCACAATACAGCAGAGCTGACACTGAACTACATTACTTTAAGGAGATCCGTCTGTGAAATATCTGGTGACTCCACCAGCTAGAGAGGCAGATTTCCATGAGTTCCTCACACCTGCCAAGCTTTGGAACAAGAGTAATAAATATTCCCAGTAAAAAGTGAAATTTCAAAGTGAAACGAGTATTTTGCACCACTAGAGTTATTTAAGAAGAATGATGAATACGGGTCCATACTTTTGTAATGGTATTTTTGAGGAAGGTTTTTCCCTTTTCTTCACATTCATATAATTCGTTATTTTAAATAAGTGGCCGTTATTTACATCAGATTTATGATAAAAAATATTGAAGGAACTTTGAGAGAAAGCAGCTACAGTAAAAAGAAAAAGTAAAAAGTAAAAAGAAAGCAGTTTCAGATTCTTTCCTCCACCACATGCAGCTTCTTGATTTTCATGCGTTATTTTATAGCCTTATTTTTTCCCTTGAGCTCCAAGACCTAACACTAAGGGGCACCAGAGAACTGAACTGCATTTGTTCATATCCATCAGGAACCAGCTACTGCAGCTAACATTGCAAGTTATTCACCATGCTAGGTGGAGAGGGAATGAGGCATTAGGGAAAACGCTACAGACAAAACAACAGTTCTGTGTGACATATTCTTTGTTACAGAAAACTGCCACTGGAAAAGCAAGGATGCATACATTTCAAAAATACTGAATGTCTTATTACAGTTTATTGCTAGGTGTTGAAAAAGAACTCTCACCGTTTTTCCAGGCAAAAGTTGGGAAATGTGTGAAAATATTACATGACACAAAAATGGATTATTTTTGAGAAGTCAAGTGTATCTAAACAGTCCTAGCATATTGAGTATATGTACTTTGATCTTAGACAAGTGTAAACAGAGGAACGCAGACTTAGGAATTCATTTGTGTATTAAGTTAGGATGAGATTTGAATGCCAGAATGTTTTCATTTCCAACTCTTGAAGTTCCACTATGGAGATAAAGAACTTTTCTCATTTTTTTGTGGATTGTAAAATTGCCTATTATCCTCTCATGTTCCCAACAGGACAAAAGGGAAACAATATTAAAAAAAAAAAGTACATAAATTAACCCTGTTTGTCAGGTGCAATGCCAATTTTCTTCACCCCACGTTTGGCTGTCAAACACAGAATAATTACGCAGCCACTGCCACATATCTTAATAGAGCACATTTTGAAAATCTCAAACCTGATATCAGGAACCTGTTGCTTATCCCAGTTGTGTATGGTTTGGTTTAGTTTTTCTTTTGTCCTGTATTTCTGTTGCAGTGCCTTTATTCTCTCACGAAATTCATAATCAAACTAGCAAAAGGAAACTAAATAAATGACATTACATTTTAGAGATGTAAAGTTGTTCTGATTCCCTTTTAAGAGCTTGGTCACAGTATCATCCTGGAACAGAAAGCATTACAAAAAGGCAGATTCAGTACAGGGGCCATTGTGTCAAATCATTGCAATCAAAGCTTCAAGATCAAAATTAATAATGTACTATTAGCAGATGGTGTGACTAAGAATTGCAAACATGCATTCTGATTTGAGTACTGTAGACCTTTCCTTATAATATTAGCACTTATTTCTGTGTCTTTAAATAGCCTATCAAAATAAAATCAACAGATAACTCCTGCTCAGTGTAGTATTTGACTCAAAGATCTTTTAAGGCCAGATGAGACCATTATGATAATGTACTTTGACCCCAGCACAACACAGGGCATAGTATCTCTCTCTGCAATTCCTCCCTTGGGTCTGCATCTTCTTTTAGAGGTATACTGTCTCCTTTTGAAAGACATCTAGCCTTGATTTATTGCTCAAAGTGACAGAAGTTTCAGTACATTCCTTCGTAAGCTCACCCCTCAGTTAACGACAGCTGCAGTCAGAAACAGTACAAGTTTTGTTCTCCTCTGGTATGGTTTAGTTTTAGATTTCTTTCCACTACACCTTTCAAAGTTGAATTTGAGAACCATCACCAAGGTCATGTTTGTTAAGAAAAAAAATCTTTTTTTAACCAAAAAATATGACAAGTCACCTTTTGGGATACATTGTACACCTTGTTCAAGGGCCATTAACAGTTTCTCAGGACAGAGAAAGGGCAGAAGGTGGTTGATCTCTGCTGTGGGTCCAAGTGGAAATCATCAGCGATTCATCACCCTAGCAGGAGAGCTAAGCCTGACCTTTCTGTCTTTCTGTCTAGGCACTGACATCTAAACTGGGACACACACAGACTGGTAGTATTTACCCAGCTCAAGTGCTGGACCAAGGTTCTGCAAATCTTCTCCTGGGGGAACAGCTTGGAGTTTATGGTCATTTTCCTTTCCAGCTTGCTGACTGAAAGACAGGCAGCTGTGATCAGGCATTTTACTGTGTGGCCATAACCGGCCAGGATGCAGAGCCCGGAGTTTCATATGATATTTGTGATTTGCTGTGACAAGGACAGACACGACAACAGACCTCTCCAGACAGTATCCTGCATGGACATGGTGTTCCATGGCCACAGTGGGAAGGAGAGAGGGGTGGAGAGTGGTACCGAGCAGTCCCTTCGGTGAGATGAGTAGAAAGAGTTGCACCGATGAAGCCCTTTGGAGGGGCCATGTGGTCCCCAGTGCCTCTCCCACCTCCTCCTCCTCCTCCTCAGGCAGGAGGAGACAGAGTGGCTGCTGCTGCCAATGCGCCAGGATAGAGAGATCTCGGCGCGGGAGGAGATGACGCAAAAGGGAGAGCTCCCCCCAAAAAAGTGTTTCTCCAGGACGAAGATGGCGGCAACTTAGCCCAGGGGCCCAAGATGCCTGTGCCCATCGGGGGCCCCCAGCCAGGCAGTTCCGCCCCGTGCGCCCGGGGACACCGCGCCCGGCGGCAGCAGCGGCGGCAGCCGCAGCCCATTGTCACCAGCAGCAGCGGCGGCGGCCCCGGCAGCCTCCTCCTCCTCCTCTTCCTCTTCCTCCTCCTCCTCTTCAGCATCCTCAGCAGCGCTCCGGGAGCCTTGCAGCAGCGTCTCTCCAGTTAGAGCGGAGGGGGGAGAGAAGAAAGAGGAGACTAAGACAGAGGTGCAGGCATCTGTGCCGCGGCTCGGGGCTGAGGAAGAGGAGCGGCGGCGGCGGCAGGGAGGAAGAAGAGGCGAGGAGCCCTCCCGGAGCCGTCCGTCGGCAGCGGGGGACGCGACATGCGGTTGTCCGGAGGCAGTGGGCTTTTCTCAGGAGGGAGATGGGGAGCTGCGATCTGACCATGCCTGGGTGAGAGGGGCAAAGGACCAGTCGCGCAGCCCTGCCACCACCAACTATCACCACTACCACCACCACCATCTCCTCTCCCTCCTCCTCTCTCTGCGTTATTGCTCTTATCTTCTCCACGGCACTCCGCGTTGGATGGACTGGGGCTGCTTCTTGTAGTGAGACCAAGGTAGAGCCACCGGCGAAAATCAACATTATCTCAGAGGAAGAACAAGAAGGAAGAAAGAAAGAAGAGGGAGAAAAAGAGAGGGAGGAGAGTGGAAGAGGGAGAGAGCGAAAGAGCGAGAGAGAGAAGGGAAGGCAGACAAGAAAATCCCCCCAATCTTTTAAGTCAATGCATATTGTGGTGACACTGGCAAAGGAGCCCTCACGGTGGAGTCGGCCAGGGCTGTGCGTTCCCAAAATATGACCAGGGGTGCTTGGATGTGTAGTCGGCAGTATGATGACGGCTTAAAAATCTGGTTCGCACCCCGGGAGAACGAGAAACCCTTCACGGATTCAGAGAGGGCTCAGAAATGGCGACTGTCCCTGGCATCGCTCTTGTTTTTCACGGTCCTGCTCTCTGATCACTTGTGGTTCTGCGCCGAGGCCAAATTCACGGGGACCGGAGAGAAGGAGCAGCCGCCGCCCGAGAAGCCGGAGCCCGCGGAGCCGGAGCTGCTGGCGGGCATGGGGGAGCCGGCGCCCCCCGCGCCCCGGCTCCTCGCCCCCCCCTCGCCCTCCCTCCCGCCCTCCCCCGGCAGCAGCGGTGGCGGCAGCCGCGGCAGCCGCAACAACGGCACCGAGCCCCGGCACGGCAAAGCTGCTTTCCTAGGGAACTCCACCACCAGGCCCCTGGAGACGTGTCCCCCCCCGGGGTCCTCGTCCGGGCAGTGCTTCAGCGTGGGGGACGCGGAGGCGGTGTGCCGGCCGCGCAGGGGGTCGGGGCCGCCGCCGGGCGCGGGGCAGAGCCCGGCGCCCGGCTGGGACCTGACGGATTTTTACCTTTCCTTTTGTAATTCCTACACACTTTGGGAGTTGTTTGCCGGGTTGTCCAATCCGGACACTTTGAACTGCAGTCTGGATGTGGTGCTGAGGGGGGAAGGCTCCTGCAGCCAGTGCGTCCAGGCTTACCAGCGCTACGACCAGCACGCTCAGGAGAAATACGAAGAGTTTGAGGTTATGCTCCAGAAATATTTACAGTCGGATGAGTACTCGGTGAAATCGTGTCCTGAGGATTGTAAGGTAGGAGCCCCTGCTGTGTTTCCTGTCCCTGGCTGGCGGGCTGGCGTGTCTCCCTCGGCTTGTTGTGGCTGCCGTGGTCCCTGTTGTGCCTGCTTCGGTCTCTGTCCCTGGCGCCGGTGGCCGCGGTTCGTACGGTGCAGGCGGAGCTGTGGGGTGTATCGGCCGGGATGCCCCCGTTAGCGCGTTGTTAAAAGGGAGGAAGAGAGAGGGGGAAGCTTGGGAAAAAGCAAAAAGAAGTGATCCTCGGTCCTCTGGGAGCGTAGCGCTGGATTTCCCCCTCCTCATGAATATGCGATTGGCTCCGGCTCGGCTGCCGGCTTCCAGCGGGCTCGGATGCGGCTTGGCGGCAGGCAGCGACAGGGGCTGCATGACAATGAGCGGGGCTCGGAGCGGCGGTCGAGGCCGGACTGCCCGACGGTGCTGCCCTGGCCGCCGGCCCTCCGGGCTGTGGGTGGCCGCGGTGCCCCCCAGAACTGGCTTTCCGTCCCCCTGCGGCGGCCAGGGGCACACTCCGGAGGCTCCGGATGGTTCCGTCGGGCGCTTGGCCCCGGGGACGGCGGTGCCCTAGGGCGGCGGAGCGTCGTGGCGCCGGGCCGCCTCGGAAGCGGAGAGCGGGACCGTGCTTCCAGGCGCTCTGCCAAAATCTGTGGATCTGGGAAAAGCTGGAGGACGAGGGTGTCTGTTTAAGGGCAGCGCGATGACCCTTGGTTGGGAAGTGATGGTAACAACGTTTTGATAAGACACAGCTCTTTTCTTTGGTGCCACTGGCGACGGCTCAAAGAGATCTAGAGGTTTTTCTTTTCCTGTGCTAGAAGGCAGAGGGTCCTACTTTGTCTCTTGTTGTTGCCTTCTCTCTACTTTTGCACAAGATTAGTTGGCCTATCTCTCAAGACAGGGCAGAAAGAAGTGTTGTCCTGAGCACCTAAATTATCTACCTGCATTCTTCTTTCCCCGTTTCAGTACTTATTGAGGTGAATGGTTTCTGACCTGAACTGGATTATCTCGACTACTGTAGCCCTACACTAACCAGTCTGAACCAAATTCTGCTTTAGCAGTTAAACACAACAGTGCACAGGCATCACTGCTCTGAACAGGAGGCCTAGAGTACCTCCGCACTTTGTAACTTCAGCAGGGCCTTCTCAAATCATTTAATGGTAACAGTCCATGCCTAAAGAATCCCATTCACCAATACGTTAGTGTAATTTTCACGTCTTTGCCACAAAAATCAATCCACAATCCCTCCAGGAGCTGAAATAGCCCATTATCTAATTGGATAAAGTAGGAAAGTTGCTATATTTATTTGTTCTTGTTAAACCTGACAAGAATAAGGTAGATTCATCAGTAGTTTTGATTCCACTGTTTTTAGTTTGCAAACTGTGTGTGTACACACTCATTGTATATATACTATGTACTCAGTTACTGATAATGTAAATCCATTTTATTTCCAGAGTGAATTGGAAAAGTAAAAAAGGGTGTCAATTGTAAATAGATGTCTACTGCTGTAAGGACATCTTTTCCATTTCAGTAGCTCTTTAAGCAGAAATTGACCTACTATTCTGTGCTGCCAAACCATCAACATCTACTTGCTTAAAGTGATTTTTTTGTGTCACAGTTTAGTTTGGCTGAACTTTACTGCAAAGTGCGCAGTTGCTCTACAGAATATGAAAGTGTAAAAGATGTGGAAAATGAACAGAACAGTAAATGTATGCTGTATAATGATTTCCCCTGCAGACACCCAATGAGAAGGAATATTTGTCTAATGATGGGGAAAAAGTTGTTGACATTAAGATGACTGTGTGAAGCTTAAATGAGCTAGACAAACACAGTGCCAACGACCTACATCTCTCCAGTTCTGAGTGCCAGACGATATTGCTCTATGTTTTGAGAATTTGGCCGACCAGTCTGTGTTAAAAATGAAAGATATTCCAGCAGGGAAAAGGAAGAAAACCCCAACCAAGGGTGCGACTTAGTGGGTTTTCCCTTTTTCCAGGGAATCTGGTGGGCAGTGCAAGTGCCCAGCTAGTGCAGGTGCGGAGGGCAGGGGATGAGCCCTCTGGCGCGGGGCTGGGCCGGGTTGGGCTGGGCCGGGCTGGGCCGGGCCGGGCCGGGCTGGACTGGGCTGGGCTGGGCTGGGCTGGGCTGGGCTGGGCTGGGCTATACTGCGCTGAGCGGCGGGCCCGGAGACCGCTGTCCAAGGTGCTGCAAGGCAGCCCAAACAGCCGGGGCCAGGAGGGGAGAAGCCTCTCTCTACCCCGCGCCCTGACTTGGTGCTTTTGGGTCCCTCTGGAGCCTTTTGATCCGTGCGGGTGGCCGAGAGAGAGAAGTGGATGGCACGTCCAGCTGTCTGATAGCCGTGTGTGTTGATGTACTTGTGCGTGGGCTACTCCGAAGAGTGTAGAGGTGAAACTTGAAACTCAAATACTTTGTGACTAATGCAATGTTTTGCTGGACTTTCTGGTGTTTTATATATTCATTTATAAGACTCAATCAGGAAATTATTATTTTAATGTGTTGGATATTTAGATAATTCTTAGCTTAAGAATCAGAACAGAAAATAACTTGACATCTAGCTATGACGCTTAGACACATGCTATTGGTTCATGTCATGATTTATGTGGTAAGCTGCTTTTCTTTTAAACAAAATACTGAAAATACTGCCTTTATTAAATAATCATGTATGTAAGCCTTGGCTTAATGCAATGAAAGGCTTGTTAAATAGTATATTTCTATTTAAGACATCTTTAGCATTCTGGGAGGGTGGCCCCATTCACAGAAAAAAAACTTTTCACCGAGTTCACCAATTATATTAGACGATAAAAATCAATAAAATTTACACTGAATAACACTCAACCTAAAACTTGTAATTGGGTGTTGCTTTCTCCTTCCCCATGTCTCCTCAACACTATCCCCCACCTTTGACACAGTCACTTCTCATAGCAAAGTGTGAAAATCGTGGGGGATTTCTCAGTCCAGCAAGATATGCTTTTCCTGAAAGTACTATTGGTGATAACAAACAGTACATCTCAAAAATGCCTTTGATGCACGAGTCTAAACCTCAGACTTTATTCATTTATCTGAAACCAGAAGAAAATAAACTTTACTTTCAAAATATTCCATGTTCCACTACATGTTTCCTGGTCTCTGAAGAATACTTTGAATTGTTTGGTATTGCAGAAGTTTGCAGGCAGGAGCTGTCTGACTTATCAGTTCACATTTAGCTATTCTATGTGGTGAGTTTTGGTTTTAATATATAAGTATACTCAGTCTTTTTTTTCTTGCTGTTTTTCCTTTTTCTTTTTAAGAGTGCTGTCCTGTAATTAAGGTCTTACTATTAAACTTGTTATTGAATTACATTGAAGTTTTTGAAAGTTTTGTAGAAAATGCTGAGAATTTTGCACATTTAGAACATTAGGAAACCCACTTTTTTTTGATAGTATCAATGAACATGCATATTCATTTTATATTATTAGAATGTCAGTAGACTTTATGTGTTGTTCAGGGCTATCAGTGTTGTCTCAATATAAATGCATCTTCAATTTATTTCTTGGAAACTATCTTTAAAGTCTGATGTCTCTCTATATTGTTTCCTTGTTAGGATAGTCAGACAACAGTAGTGGCTAGACAGTAAATATAAGAAAAATATTTGAATGCATTGCATATTCAACTAGATGACATAATAAATTGCTGTAGTTTTATTGAATCACTAAAGTAACGGAGTAACTGAAAGTCTGGATCTACATTTCTGTTTTTCTGTCCTAAATTTAATTTAGATTTTAAAAAAATATTTATGAAATTTTGCTTTTGCATATTATAAATTTGTGATTATATTTGCAGGGATTGGTCTTGACAATATCTATAATTTCTTGATTTCCAGAATATCATTTTTATATGCAGTGTGACACAGTACTGTATTCAGACAATTAACAGAAACTGTATTGGCTTGATGCTGGAAGACAGAGTTCCTCATTAAGACTTGTCAGCCTTCTATCAGGGGAAATACTCAAGTTCTTATTCTTAAGGCAGAAGGCGATTGCTCTGTGGAATAAAAGAAAATTCTGGCTACTTCTGATTAAGAACTGGGTCAAATGACTAAGTAGGACATAAAAATGTAAAGGTTTTTAATTTTGTTTGGTTTTTTTTTAGAGATAGAACTTACATCTTTGTGATAGGTATCAGAGGCCAGGGCTTTCTTGGCAAATGTATTTGTTAATGTTTGAACATGACACTAGTCATCATTTTTTGATGCAGGTTTCTTTAACCTAGTGAAAGTTGTGAGTGTTTAAAATGTGGTCTTCCCTAGTCCTAATTAAAATATTGAAATGTATAATTCAGGTAATGCATTATAATTAAAATAACATTAAAATAATTCAGTTTCCCTCCTAGAATATAAAAGGAGAAAAATAAAAAATACCAACTCTTTTTATATCAATATTGTTAAAAGCAAACTTTGACTGACATCCTAGGTGCTTAACACATATACATAGATTTTTGTTTTTCAGAAATTAAATATAATTTGATAATTTCTGATTTGAGGTTTATGATACTGGTATGTATATGATATGATATATATATGATATTGAGTTATAGCTATTTATAGTTATTATACTTATTATGGCTGAGTTATAATACTTCTTAGTTGAAAAACATGCATATCAATCAAGGGTTTCATCATTAAACATAGATGGTGTAGCTGATAGGAATATACAGTTGGTATTTCTGTTACTGAAGAATTTTTTTTTGATCAAAGAGCTGTGTTCAACCACTTTTATTTGAGTAAGAGGGTGATTGAAAGTTATTTAAAACAATTAGAATCACATTTCTTTTTAGGTGTTATCTGGAAATATCAAAGCTTATATGAATCATTACTTTTCCAAGAACTTTTTCCTAAACAGCATATGTAGTCTAATTAGGTTTTGATTTAAACTCTCAGCTAAGCTGGCAGAAAAGAGCAGATGAGAAATATGAAACCAAAAGCTCAAATGATAAAAGTACCCTTCTGT